AAGTTTTTATTTTATCTTTATTTTTAACACAGGCGAACACGAGGCGGGTGCCCCAAGGAACGATTAGTTTGCCTCTACATTAAGATGATTACGGAGGAAGAATTCTATCCCTTCCCCATTGTAAGTTGCATATAAAGAACACGAACAGTGAAATATAGGAAAAAGTGTGTTCACTTCCATGTGTAAGTATGAAGTGAACTAAAGGTAATAGAAGTAGCAAAATACTAGAAATCTGCATGGTTGTGTAGATAAAAATGGCACAATATACCGTCATGTAAACAATAAGGCTTCGTTTTAAACTACATGGCAGAATCTGATTTTTCTGGCGAAATATGGACAACCTAACACCATATTAATAATAATTTTTAATTCTATATTATGGTCCACCCATTGGGCATGGAGCGTGTATACTCCCATGGCGGTTGCGTTTACCAACCTACTACCTATTATTATTATTATTATTATTAATTATTATTATTATTATTGGTTCCTATGCGACCCATTGGGGTCACATAGGAAGCGATGATCTTTTACACCAATGAAGTTAAGGAGCCGTTCTTAATTTCTTGAATTAAGAGCTCAAGAGCATGAAAAACCAACGAGATGCAGTAAGTAGGGGGGAGAAAGATTAAGAGAAGGACTGCTTCCAAGTGGCTTCCATCTTGTAATGACGGAATTAAAGGCGAAGAGACGGGAAAAACTAAAACCAACTCGGCCCAACACGAGCCTTTAGACGCGAATTAAAACTTGGAGAAATTCCCCCAAACTTCTTTCGCTTATTAGATTTAGCTAGCAGTGTGAAGAAGAGGCTGTTTTGACGTCTAATTAACCAAACTACTTCTCTCGATCGATACGGCCTTGGTTACTGGTGGTGGTGGTGGTGGTGCTGGTAATTCTGGTGGTGGTTATATTGTTGCTTGCTGCTTCATGTGGTGGTGGTGGTGGTGTTGGTGGTTTTTTTTGGTGGTGGTGAGGCTGGTTCTGATATTGAAGGTTCTAGTTCCTACTGATTCTGGCGCTGATGCAGTGGTGGTGGTAGTGGTGATAGTGATGCTACTGGTGCTACTGCTGCTGGTTTTGATGTTAATGCTGTGGTGTGTGTGCTACTTTTGTTGTTGTTGTTGCTGGTGATCGCATTAGTGGTGGAGTTTCTGCCGCTTCCCCCCTTTTCCTCCCCTCCCCTTCCTCCATCTAAGCTATGGTCAGACTTCTTAAAGAGCGGCGTTCAACCCAGTTTAAAGACTTGGAGAGGGGGCTGGAATTAGGCCAGCTTCCACACACATATAATGCACGGAAAGAAGAGAAGCGGTAAATAGCCGTGACAATAGAGTTACACAGCCACTGCCCTACTTTAAATGGAGGAGGATAGATGCCTGAGCGGCCATCCCCAACAGGCTGAAGAAACAAGAAGGAAATAATTTTCGTAAGTGCCTTAAAAGAGCGATTTTGAAATGGGTGTAACTGGCTCTGTTGTAGGTGTGTGTACACACACACACACACACACACATACACACACACACACACACAATACACACACTGCTGAGTGCACTAAGTACTACAGTTAGTCAGCATCTGTCTCTCTCTGGCCAAACTTTGACTCTCCCCTCTCTTAAAACCTTCTGTCTCTGAGCGCCTCGTTTCATCTCTCCCAGCCGTCCCTCCCTACACTTCCTGTTTCCGGCATTTTCCTCTTCCGTAAAAAAAGTGCCAAAAAAAAAAATTAAATGAAGCCGCTAATTTAGCCAACAATGTAAGAGAAGAGATCTGTTACATCTTCTGCTTTTCTTTTGCTCCCGCCATTACAGCTTCCCCAGATTACCTGGGTGTGTTGAGTTGCCAACTCTCTTATCCCTGTTTCTCTGTTTATCAAGTTGGGAAGTCAATCCATCATTGTTTCCAAGTTACGCAAGATAAATTAGACGCAACTTATCGGCAGCCCAGGTAGATCACACACACCTCCAGCCTCTGTTCTTTTAGCGGTAACCGCCCTGCGCGGGAAAAAAAAATGGCGGGGGGTAAAAAAAAAAGCGCACCAATTTTACGAAGATATTTTTGGCGGGAGTTTGTGTTTTCTTGTCGCACGCTTCACGGCTCCATCGTGCACCCTGATATGTCCGGAAGCCACTGGGGCGAATTCCAAAGGATTTTTGGACAGTTCTTTGTGTTCTGAAATGCTTTTGCTGCGGGGGGAATGTATGTTTTGGTGCATATCTACGTATATTCGTCCGACTTTTGTGGAGGTCAGTGGCGCATATCGGGAAAGACAAAATTCTTTAGGCTTCTGGTGGTGTATTGCACGACACACTTTTGAGTTCTCCCGGCCACTTTGCGTGGATTTTCTTTCCTTTCTATTCTACAATATTATTCCTTCCACTGAACATCAGTACTTTTGAGGTCGTTGCTGATGATTACTCTGAAGGTCCTTCTTTTCTTCCGGATAATTTATATTCATTTTGGAGATTGTTTTAGAGGTGAAAAAGAGCACTGCAGTAGGTCTACTGGCCCAAGATAGTCAAAGTCTAACTCACATCCACCTACACCCACTCATGTACTTACCTACGTTGAAACTCGTATCCCACGTCTCCAACCATGTACCATAGTTGCAAAAACAACCACAGAACTTGTAGGATTTGAACTCATGGCAGGTAAGGGTGCTACTTTGGCTTGTTATCTACGTGTATGAATCTACTTTGGGATGATATCTACACTTACATTGCGTTATACGTGTCATGAATCTTTGTTATGCGATCTACACCTTATATTGCAATCAACACGGTACCTAACCTAACCTAACCTAGGTTAGGTACCGTGTTGATTGCAATATAAGGTGTAGATCGCAATGTAAGTGTAGATATCATTTTCCTTGTAGATAACAAGCCAAAGTAGCACCTAGGTAAGTGGGTGGGAATGGGAAGTTTTAATAACGACCTGCCTTGTATGGGCCAGTATGCCTGATGCAGTGTTTCTCCATTCTTATGCATATTACGATTTCGTAGTATAAACCTTGGTAACAGATACCAACAATATAGCCTAGACAGGTGTCTTCTTAACCTCTGATCATTTCTTAACCTTGATCACTTCAAGGTCCCAGGACCGAAATGTTTTCTCATAAATACGTCCTAGTGTTTCCTCACGCATCTTTGTAAACCATTACGATTTGCCATTACGAACTAGGCACAGGTTATCTAAGCGACAGAGAGATATTCGTAGATGTCAGTTGTATTTAGACCAGACTATACACGTCCTGAAGCCCTCTAAAACGTTTTACCTTAAACAGTTTCATGAAGCGGCAGCAATATTGATCTAAACGTAACACTTGGATGGCACAGGACTGAATATGTATGTGAGAGTGCGTGATTGTATGCACATACGTGTGTGTGTGTGTGTGTGTGTGTGTTGTGTGTGGTGTGTGTGTGTGTGTGTGTGTGTGTGTGTGTGTGTGTGTGTGTTTTTGGTGGTCAAGTGTCCACGGTTTAGTGGTTTGCGTAAATTCATGTATGTGTTTACAGTGTATATATGTAATGGTGCGCTTGTGTTTGTACATCTCTAGTGATGTGTCCATAACTTTTTTGTTTGCTCTTACTCTTTCATCCTTTAACCTCTCTCTCTCTCTCTCTCTCTCTCTCTCTCTCTCTCTCTCTCTCTCTCTCTCTCTCTCTCTAACCTCTCTCTCTCTCTCTCTCTCTCTCTCTCTCTCTCTCTCTCTCTCTCTCTCTCTCTCTCTCTCTCTGCTTGTGTCTGTCTGTCTTTCGTTGTACATTATGTCCTTGAAATTTTATTGATAAAGCCACTGGATGGCGAAACGTCTACAATAAAGATACCCCGATGTTGCACAGGTCTGGTTCTCTCTCTCTCTATCTCTCTCTCTCTCTCCAACACACAGACCGGAAATATGTCATATACCTTGAATATCTGAATTATTGAACCTGGTTTGAGCGATAGCCTGAATATTACACGTGTCAAGCCTAGCGTATAACTGCTGTCACCACATTTGCTGCCTCAACACTAAGCTAATATTATCTGGCCAGAAGTGACTTAACGTGTATTTGTTTTGCTTTCGTTTGTATCCTGATACGTTAAGCTTCTGTGACCTATGTACTGTACCGACTTAGTCTTTTTATATGTTAAAAGTGCGTGAGCTGATGCAGGAGTGATTTAACACATTTTTAACTGGTGATTTGGTTAATTAAAGCTTGACCTTATATAGTCTTCATTAAATGTCCCAAGTGGCTCGTCATTAAAGTTTTTGGACTCGTTTTTATTCCTGTACAGTAGTGGTGATGATATCTGGTAAATATGGCGTAGCACAAAAGCTGTAATGTCTTAGCTGGAACAAATCACAGCTAACTTCTAATCTGTGGGTCAGCTGTGTGACAGACACCTGAAGACAGATACAGGCTGCTAGTTCTGTAACTTGTGTCTTAGTCCCCGTATTTGTTCGCAATACGCCACTTTCCCCAACAGATGCCTATAACAGGTAATGCCTCTTCCGATTGGCTTTAAATTTTCAAAACTGGTGCATCTTAGTGGAAGGTTCAAATTAGTTTTGATATGTATTAGTGCCAATTTGCCATTTCTGTTGAGAAAATTGAGATACCGGTTTCTACCCAATAACTTGTAAATACCTCTTCTGATCGGTTAGAAATGCCGCACTCTGTACTATTTCTTGTTCGTGCACTGAAAAAGACGGGGTCGAGCTTATGGGAAACGGAGATACCTTTTACGGATCGCGCTAACGCAGAAACGCATCTAGTTACTTATAGGTTAGTGGGAAGAATTAAACTATAAGGGTTATATAACGCCTGGGGAATAGTAATCAGGTTTGACTCGTTGAAGAGGAGCGTAGCATCGAGTTAAGGTAAATCTTGTTCTTGTAGGAGACGAGTAAGGAGCAAAGTGAGGAGTAATTTAGACCTGTTCGTGCAGGAGACTAGCGAAGAGTAATTTAGTTTTGTTCTTGCAGGAGACGAACGAAAAGTAATTTAGTCTTGTTTTTGCAGGAGACTGCTGAGGAGGACACTGCAGGAGGAAGCAGCGACGCCTCCCACAACGGCCCGTCACTCCCATCCGGCTTGAGTCCTGCCATGGCTGCTGCAGCTGCTGCAGCAGGCGGTGTGGGCGCCCACACCCTCCTCCAGCAGACCATGAGTCAACTGCTACGGCCTTCCTCCCCACGGGTTGACCTGCCTTCATCCCCGCCTTCTCTAGCTCATGGGTCAGAACCTCCGCGGCCTCTCTACTGGGGTGCCCACGACCTTCGTCAGGATCACGACCGCCAGGACGCCCACTCCCCAGGACTCGATCCTTCCAAGGTTAGTTCTTTTTTTTTTTTTGGTTATATGCTGGTTTATTTTCCTCTTTGTATCAGAACTCCCACACCCCACCATTTTCCATCCCCTAATGTGTGTCAGAACCCCCACACCTTACCTTTCTTCACCCTAACTGTGCATCAGAACCCCCAACCCACTTTTCTTCAACCTCCCCCCCCCACCTCCCATCAGTCTCTCCACTCCGTAGACAACATCGTGAGAACAACGATCCTGGACTTCGTGAAGGCTGACTCTTGTAGACGGTGTGGTCGGATCAGCGGTAACACCTTCAGGTAAGCCAGCTAGTGGAGAGGTTGTCAAACTGAATTAAAAATTCTAGCGGACGGAGGATCGAGTCTTCCCACTCCTTGCGTTGTCGTACACGGGTTTAGCGGATGTTGAGGGGTAATCTACAAGAAGTCCTCAGCTCCAGGCTGGGTTTATTCGCATCAGTCCTCCGAGCATCGCTGTCTGTGACAGAAGCGTGACTTGTCTCGCGGTTCAGAGAATGAACGACTGCTGTTTTCACTTTTAGTCAGTACATCGTTTTCCTTCATTCATTTTGGCTTTCATTCCATTTGGAGTGATTCCTTCTCACTTCCTCAGCAGTGCCCCCCCTCCTGATGTTTTCCTCAGTAGTGACGTTCAGATCCCTCAGCAGTGACCTTCCTCAGATACCTCCCTCAGCAGTGACCTTTCTCAGATGCCTCCCTCGGCAGTGACCTTCCTCAGATCCCTCCCTCAGCAGTGACCTTCCTCAGCAGTAACCTTAGTTAGATTCCTCCCCAGCAGTGACTTCTCGCAGCAGTGACTTTCCTCAGATTTCTCCCTCAGCAGTGACCTCCCTAAGCAGTGACGTTTCTCAGATCCTTCCCTCAGCAGTGGCCTTCCTCAGATCTCTCAGCTTCCTCAGCAGTGACCTTCCTCAGATTCCTCCCCAGCAGTGACCTCCCTCAGCAGTGACATTCCTCAGATTCTCCCTCAGCAGTGACCTTCCTCAGATTCCTTCCCAAACAGTGACCTTCCTCAGATTCCTCCCCAGCAGTGACCTTCCTCAGATTCTTCCCCAGCAGTGACCTCCCTCAGCAGTGACATTACTCAGATTCCTCCCCCAGAGGTGACCTCTCTCAGCAGTGACCTGTCTCAGATACCTCCCTATACCTTTTCTTGTTTCTGCTTTTCTCTTCATCACGCTCTTCTAACTTATCAAGTTCCTCTTCCTCTCCACATCTCTCTCTCATTTTTTCTTCTAAGTACATCACCTCCATTCACGTTCAACTTTCTCTCTCTCGCTCTTTCTCTCTCTCTCGCAGAGAGCCTTCTGCTTTTTAACTCTAGATAATACACCATTATCTACAGTCTATATAGAACTAGACAGACAGCTCTCAGCAGACAGCATTTGTCCTATGCTATCTGCCATGCCACGTTCTTGCATGTTATCTCTCTTCTCTCTCTCCTCTCTCCTTCCTCTCCTCTCTCTCTCTCCTCTCTCTCTCTCTCTCTCTCTCTCTTTCTCTCTCACTCTCGCTGACGGAAGTAACACAGAAACTAACTTTCCCAGGAGACCAGGAGAGCACTCATAAGAAATTGCTTGCAGTTCTTTCCTTCTCCATTATAAAGGAGAAGTGAGTGGTCTCCTCGCCATAGTTCTCCTGTGTCGAACTTGGTATAAATTTCCCTTTCTCTAGTGCCGTGTGTGTGTGTGTGTGTGTGTGTGTGTGTGTGTGTGTGTGTGTGTGTGTGTGTGTGTGTGCGCGCGCACCGCTCCTAAGTTCAAAATGATGCTGCCTCCCTTCCTCTCTCTACTGCTGCTGCATCATCATTAATCATCATCGTCATGGTCAATCATCATCAGTAATCATTATATATCAGTTACTATTTTTGTACATAAAACACACATATTTATTTCTCATGATCACAGACGTAGCTATTAACAGCAATCAGGGCTTGATCAGAGGAAGGGGAAGTCAGTTCAAATTCCTCGGATCAAGAGCCTTTCACTATCGAGGTACCCCCCTCCCTTTTTTTGAGGTGCCAGAAGAAAAGGATGAAGTTCTTACTCTAATACTGGGACGGTGCCAGCTAGGGAAGGTGCTAGCTAGGGAAGGTGCTAGCTAGGGAAGGTGCTAGCTAGGGAAGGTGCTAGCTAGGGAAGGTGCTAGCTAGGGAAGGTGCTAGCTAGGGAAGGTTCTAGCTAGGGATGGTACTAGTTAGGGAAGGTGCTAGCTAGGGAAGGTGCCAGCTAGGGAAGGTGCCAGCTATGGGAGGTGCTAGCTATGGAAGGTGCCAGCTAGGAAAGGTGCCAGGTATTGAAGGTGCTAGTTATGGAAGGTGCCAACTAGGGAAGGTGCCAGCTAGAAAAATTGACAGCTAGGGAAGGTGCCAGTTAGGAAAGGTGCCAGTTAGAGGTGGTGCCAGTTAGAGAAGGTGACAGAAACAGTGCCAGTTAGAAAAGGTGCTAGTTAGGGGTAGTGACAGGGAAGGGGCCAGTTAGCGAAGGTGCCAGTTAGGGAGGGGAACTGGCAGGGCAGTGCCAGGATGGTGACACCACCCACTCCACCAAGCAAACACTCCCACGCACGCACGGACGTGCCCAGAGTGAACCACCAGGAACAGAAATGTCCTCATTTCCACATAATCATCAGCAATACGTGGTACAAGAACTTTAGCAAGGAGGGGAGGAGGGGAGCACGTTGGTCTGAGACCTGAAGGAACTTTGGTGAAGGGGTTGGGGAACAAGTTAGTCTGAAACCTGAAGGAACTTGGGTGAAACGGTTGGGGAACACGTTGGTCTGAAACCTGAAGGAACTTGGGTGAAAGGGTTGGGGAACACGTTGGTCTGAGACCTGAAGGAACTTTGGTGAAGGGGCTGGGGAACACGTTGGCCTGAGACCTGAAGGAACTTTGGTGAAGGGGCTGGGGAACACGTTGGTCTGAGACCTGAAGGAACTTTGGTAAAGGGGCTGGGGAACACGTTGGCCTGAGACCTGAAGGAACTTTGGTGAGAGGTTGGGGAACACTTTAGCTTGAGACTTGAAGAACTTTGAGTGAGGGGGATTTGATCTGAGACCTGAGGGAACTTGAGTGAAGTGTTGGGGAACACGGTGGTCTGAGACCTGAAGGAACTTTCGCAATAAAGGGGCGAGTGAAGACGTGTGTCTATGACCTGATAAAATTTGAGCTAGGAGGAGTAAGATGCTGGTCTGAGACCCTTAAAACATTCAGCAAGGGAGGAAGACGCTGGTCCGAGACCTGAAGAAACTTGAGCGAGGAGGAGGAGTAAGATGCTGGTCTGAGACCCTTAAACATTGAGCAAGGGAGGAAGACGCTGGTCCGAGACCTGAAGAAACTTGAGCGAATAGGAGGAGAAAGATGCTGGTCTGAGACCTCTTAAGACCTTGAGCAAGGGGGCGAGGAAGCCTTTCAGTCTCCAGGAACTTCTCGAAAGACTATTAAGAAATTGCAGTTTCGCTTCTTTGCCAACTTTTCGCTAATTTTCAAACTGGACGGAAGGTCATGCTACTGTGTGTGTGTGTGTGTGTGTGTGTGTGTGTGTGTGTGTGTGTGTTGCACCAGTGTCTCAAGACGACATGTTCAACTAATGTGACATTTTATTGTGGCAACATTTCGCTCCCCAGGAGCATTTTCAAGGCTTTACAATGTGAGTGGGGGGGAATGGAAGGTAATCAGGTTTGATCCTAGGAAGGGGAGGGCAGCTGGAACTTCTACAGCCTGAATGTTACGCTCAGGGTGGGTTCACTCACTAGTCGGGGGAGATTTTTACCGTGGATGAGAATTGGTGGGTGATGGCGGGTGTCATTACGATGGCACACTGGTGGCACACTGATGGCATCAGTGGCACATAGGTGCCACTGTTGTTCTTAACCTCGCCATCCTCACCCGAAGATACAAAATGATCCAACGTGAACAACACTGAGAACATCGCAGAACTAGTCTTCCGTTGTGACATCGTTTCGCTCTGCGTAGATCTTTCATCAAGTTAGAGTGTGATTAAGACACATGTGCAGCTGTTGGGTATCTTTACTATTGAAACGTTTCACCTACACAGTAGGCTTCATCAGTCAGTACAGAGGAATGAAAATGGTGTAATCAGTCCATCAACCTTGGACTGATTACATCATTTTCATTTCACTACTACACCTTCTACTTCAGTATTTGACTGAAGAAGCCTACTGTGTAGGCGAAACGTTTCAGCAGTAAAGATACCCAACAGTTGCACATGTGTTTTCATCATCAGCTTGTCGGTATTTTGTACCATTTCCAACATAAGTCAGAGAGTGACTTGATACCTACACAGAGCGATACGTTGCTCCAGTAGTACCTTGTTCTATCATGTGTTTATATTTTTCAGACCCAGAGCCTTTTTTGCTTTCTTCCAGAGTATTTTTATTAAATTTATGCCAACCGCTGACACCGTGTAGGTAATTCAGAACCGATGGTGACTCGATCCTATGTCTGCTAATTGCTCGGCAGAACGCCAACAGATAGACAGCATTTGTTATTATATAGCATTATTAGAATAATGCTATATAATACCGATAAGACAAGGAATTTGTTGCATGTGCAACTCCTGAGTATCTCTGTTTAAAGACGTTTCGCCAACCAGTCCCTCAGTCTTGAAGGACAGTGCACGGAAGACGGTGGAAGAAGAAAGAGGTAATCAGTCCCCTAGCCTGCAAGCCAGTGTTCCGTACCTTAGTATCGAACCCTGGCTTCCAGGTCGAAGGATTGAGTACCTCGTCTTCCATTGTCTTCGTAAATCGTCTCTGTATTGAACTGTTAAAGTCACTGGTTGGCTAAATGTCTTAAAATAAAGATACCCAGGTGTTGGATATGTGTTTAATCCCTCAGAATTTAAAATTCTTGCCCGTGCTTAGTGATTTTCTCTCGTCTTGAGCTACGGCATACTCATCCTTCATGCAATTAGTGGTTTCAACTCTTTTTTGCTCCTGGAACCTCTTCATTATCATTACCTGGTCATT